GAGAGAGAGAGAGAGAGAGAGAGAGAGAGAGAGAGAGAGAGAGAGAGAGAGAGAGAATAACTTTGTGTAATTTTCAAATTGATGCATACAATTTTGGGTGAATTTTTAAGTGTCTCCCAACCTGGAAACCAATTACCACTTCTCTCTCTGGAATTGGGAGACAGGCCTCCACTTATTACAGAAAGACAAGTTAGGCGGGAGACAGCGGGCATCTAGAAAGGCCCTGAGCCCAATAGGAAGACCAGGCCTCAGTTGGAGAAGCAGGAGTCCAAGGTGAAGGTTAGTGAGTCCAGGTGTAACAAGCGCCATAACAAGCACAGAGGCAGAGGCCCATTATGACAGCTCCGGCTCCTCCCTATCTGGAAATACTTCTCACTTTGCCTTCTCACTTTGTTCTTTTAATGAGCTACTTGAAGAGGACAGCAGGCTGGGGATGTACTCAGTGGAACAGCGCCTGCCTGGCAACCACAAGGTCCTGAGTTTGGTTCCCAGTGCCAAAATAAAGAAATAAATTGAAAAAAAAAAAAGAAAAAAAAAAGAAGAGGATAGCAGCTAAGAAGCACCTGCAGACATATCCTTGCTATGTGCGTCCACTCCTTAGAGACCCAGGTCTCCCTTACCTAAGCTTGTTTTAGTCCTGACCTTAGTTGGACCCCGACTGGTTTGAGCCTTGGTCATTTTTGGTATTAAAACTCCTAGACAAAGAGTCCCCTTGGTAGCCCACTCTCAGACCCCGCTCCACTCTTGGGAGCTCTTTCTTCTTTTTAATAAACGTTTGTCTTGTCTACCTCCTTTGTCCTCGACCTCAGTCTTGAACTTCATGAGACACAGACCCAGCTTACCCCTTCCGCGACCCCCTGCCTCTCCGTTTGTACAGACTGGCTCCCCGGAGGCTGGTTTAAACTCTGTGATCCAGGTCTCATAGCCATGGCGGTAGCAACACGTGAGACAACTGACCAAAACCGGACCAATCAGGGTCTGGCTAGCATTGGGACTGAGTTAAATTAGCTTCTGCAAATAGCTCGATGTTGATGAAAATGTAGAATAAGCATATTCCACTTTGTGTTTGGATAATCTGGAATTTTTTTTTTTTTTTTTTAGGCTGATACTGGGGATTGATTCAAGGGCCTTTGTGCCCAGCCATTTTTATTTTTATTTTGAGACAGAGTCTTGCTAAATTGCTAAATTTCCCAGGCTGGGCTGAAATTTCTGACCCTCTGGGTTAGCCTCCCAGAGTGCTGGGATCACAGGTGTGTGCTACCGCACCCACCAAGAAACCCTGTCTGTAAAGTTGCCCCGTGCTTTGGTCGACATTGTTTTTCATGGATGGTAATACACGCTCTCCCGTCTATAAATACTGCATCCAAATGGTCTGCTTCCAAATTTATTTGTCCAGCTGGGGATGTAGCTCAGTGGCACAAGCGTCTGCCTGCCAAGCATGAGGTCCTGAGTTCAAGTCACAGTACCAAAAAAAAAAAAGTTACTATTTGCCCAGCCTTGACCTTCAGGTCTGTGCAGCTTTCTATCTCGACACCTGTCCATCTGCATGGCTGGTAGGTACCGCCAACTCCTGGGCCCAGAGCACTTCAATGTCTCTCTCCAACTTGACCTTTTCCAAGTCTTTCCTTATATCTGTGAATGACTCACGTACCAGTGCAGTCCTGAAGCCTTGATTTCTCCCTTCCCCTCACCCCTTGTCCTTCAGTCCTTCCTGAAAAACTAATCTACCCTTCTCCCCTCCTGTCCTGAAGCAGCCTGTGTGTCCTTCTTCAACTACCATGTTTTCTTAATGCTCCCCCATTTTTCTCTCTCATACCCCATCATTGTCCCTAAACCCCTGTCTTGGTTACTTTTCTCTCGTTGCTGGGACAAAATA